AACAGGGCTGCCAGGTAGATTCCCACATAGGCCAGTGAGCTGCGCCCGAGCTGAGCTGCCAACAGGTGGCAGGATGGCTCAGCTGGTGAGAGCATGTGCTCCTAACAACAAGGTTGCCAGTGCATCTCCCGCATAGGATTGTGGGCTGTGCCCACCTGCAACTAAGATTGAACATGGCACCTTGAGCTGAGCGGCCTTGAACTGCCGATGGGCTGCCGGATGGCGACTGGACTTGGAGCTGAGCTAGCTGCACCCTCCACAACTAAGATTGAAGGACAACAACTTGGTTGTTTCCCTTCCTCAATTCCCCCAATAAAATCTTAAGGAAAAAAAAAAAAAGTCTGGCAGAAGAAGAGGTGGGGGGGGGTGGGGGGGGGAAGAAAGAAACTGAATTCAAAAAGAGGGAAGGAGTTAAGATGAGATCCAGCAGAACTCATCAAGTCAGCAGACTTCTGTAAAGGACTGAGATGGTAAATATTTTAAGTTTTGCCGACCATAAGATCTCTGTTGCGACCACTCAGCATTGCTGTTGTAGCAGGAAAGTAGTCAGAATCAATACATAAAATCAATGTGTGTGGCTGTGTTCCAATAAAACTTTAAGTACGCTGACATTTGAATTTCATATAATTCTCACATGCCATGAAGTATTATTTTTCTTTTGATTTGTTTTCAACCATTTAAAAATTTAAAAACTATATTTAGCTTGCAGGACTTACGAAGATAGGCAGGCCGAAGTTTGCTAACTAACCTCTGATAGTGGAAGGAGGAAGAGGGAGAACTGGAGCTGGACAACTATGGCTGAGTGTGGTGTTTGTATTAGGTAAGGTTAGATTATGCTGAGGCAACAGACAACTCAAAATTTCAGTGATTTCCAATAACCAAGGATATTTCTCACTCACAATGCATATGCACTGTGTTAGCGAAGCTCTGCTCTGTGTTGTTTTCATTCAGGAATTCAGGCTAAATGAGCAGCCTCGGCCTGGAATATATCTAGAACTACTGGCAGAATGAAAATGGAGAACCTGGCAAACCATGTGCAGGCTCTGGGCATTTCTGCCTGAAATCACATATGTCACTTTCACTCATATTTCACTAGCCAAAGCCGGTCACATACCCATGGTTGACTTCAATCAGATGACATAATGGAATCCTCTCCCAGGAAGAGGAGTGACTATTTGTGAACAATAACATAGTCTGACACATTGCCTCTCCTTAGTGCCTTCAATTGCTTTGGTTTGGGTATTCCTGAAGCAAGTTTATTATATTCTCCAAACTAGTGCCTTAAGTAGGGACTGGGGGATATCATAATAGTGACGATAATAGCATCGGTCAAAAGTTCAGGGATAGACAAAGTAAAACCAATGAATCAATGAAGTAGTAATTAGTAAAAGTTTATTGTGTACACACAAAAAGGATAGTTCATGAACTGGGAGAACTCAAACCCAAACATGGAATGAGGTTCAGGGATATATTGTTACAAAACAGCCCACATAGTGAGAAGGCAGCGCCTTTATTTTTCACAGTGATTGCTTATAATATTGACATTTTCTTGAGCGAGCTCTTAACCAGGAGCCACTCGGCCGGCCCTTATATTGACATCTTCTTACATGATAGGGAATTGGTTATCATATTAACTTTAGGAAACACTTTGTTTAGTTCATGATCTCCAGAGATATAAACAAGAAATGACTCAGGTCAAGTTAGTCTTGAAAAATAAGGTAAATTAAGCTGTGCTTATATGACTAAACTGGTTTTGTCTGCTCAGGGAGTTTTCAAAGCTGGTCTCCGTTTGTTTTTGATTTTCACACATCTAATGTTTATTGAGTGTGTTTATTATTTTTTGAGTGTGAAATGTTTATTTCACACATCTAATGTTTATTTCCCCTACATTACATGCATCCTTTGCATGCATTTTTGCATTTAATTTTCACACCATCTCATTAAGGTAGTTACTATTTTTATCCCCACTTTATTGCTGAAGAAATTGAACAATAGAGAGATTAAGGGCACTGGACTAGCAAGTAGTTGAAATTCAAACCTGGGTCACTCTAATTTTAAAGTATGTGTTTCTACTCTATCACAGTGGTTAAGAACATAGGTTCTGATGATAAACTGCCAAGATTCAAATCCTTACTGGTGCCAGGCACTGCTTTTATGGACTTGGGCAAGTTCTGTAACTTTTCTGTCTGTTTCTCCATCTGTAAAATAGGGATGTTAACAGTATCACCTCATGAGGTTTTTGTAGTTTAAATATAAAAATGAATGTATGTGGAGTGCTAGTGTTTAGACTAGTACTCGGTAAATAAAAAAGTGTTTGCTATTATTATTATTATTATTATACAACATTTTGGGGGAGTTCCATTGGTAATTCTACTCTCTTTCCTTCTGTTCCCTTCTTATCCCTAATCTTTGAGAATTTCTGCTCTAGATTTTTGTTCCCATCTCATATTTATGTGTTTTTGGACTAATACTTCACCACCATGGAGGGCAAGCTATAGGAATACCATAAACTTTAATCCAGCTGTATCTCTGCTTCCCAGACCTTCCTCGCCTGCCACTTTTGTGTTCATGGCTTATTATTTAAACTTCTTGTTTATGTGGGTGCATAGCAATGATCTGAAATACAGGAGTAGGCTATCTAGAGAGAAGGTAGTAACACTGGCCTCAATTCTTGCTACATGAACTTGGTGATTCCTTCCAGTTATGTTTTCAAAGTTGATGATTTTACTGCGGTTTAATTTTGGAAACAACATACTAGTTTTTTCTCCTGTGTAAATTGTGACAAAACCTAGTCAGTACAGTAGAATACCGTGTTTGGCAGAGGCCTATCTATTGGTCATCAGCCTTTTAAAAAAACAGATACTGTTTGAGAAGGGCTTGATGGGCTAATGGAATTATATTATGACAAAGTGTGCACAGCTCTTCTTCATGTGGGGTAAAGAGAACTAACCTGTTCATTTTCAATTTTAGTGTTTAAAATAGAATGAAAGAGAATGACCTGTAGACAACTTGGAATCTGTTTTACTTATCATCTCCCTCAAACTTACATTTTTCTTTAAAAAATTCATTTATTACATAAGGCAGAAGGATAAACCATCCCATTTCCTTATTTGTACACTTGAAACAATATATAGACTTCAAGTGCTAGTTTTTGTGGGGGTTTTCTTAAAGATTTTTATTGGAGAATTGGGGGGATGGGAACAGTGCTGGGGAATTGGGGGAAGGGGAACAGACAAGTTTCTGTCCTTTTGTTCTTTAATTTAGTTGTGGAGGACGTCGCTTCACTGGCTCCAGTTGGCACCATCATTGCGCTCTTCCCGGGCAAGGCAGATCAGTCGCCGGCTTCTGGACGGCCGCTCACTGCGGCTGCTGGCGGCTCACGCTG